GTGAATGTTTTCTACAAAACTGTATCACAATTGTGATGTATACACAAATTAAAGCTTAGAAAATAGATTGCTAAACAATGATAGAATATCAGAATGTGTAGTGTTTAGCAAAAACTGAGAGAAAGAAGATTTTGATCAGCTTTTATGCGTGTAGAGATTTGGAGAGCATTAGCCATTTCAATCTTCAAAGTCTTGTTTATATAGCACTGAGATGTTGAACGTTGGATGCAATATTCTTGATTCAATGCTATTAACAAACTTTCCTTATCGAGCAGATCTTGTCTGGAATGAGGCCGTTGGTATTAATTTGCTTTCAATGCATAGTATCGTTGCTTACTTAATGCAAGTTCTGGATTGGCTCATTCTGACTCTGCTTAGCTGCTGATGAACTGTTGTGTTTCTTTATCAGAGTGTTGAGCGCAGTCTTGTTCATCAGGCTTCAGCATATACGTGAGTTGATCATCTGATTCTGACATTCTGATATGGCAACTTCTGATGCTGGTGTCAAGAACCAAATTCTGATGCTGATTAGATGTGATCTAGCTTATATCAATCAGAGTATCTGCAAGTCAGAACATAGTAATTTTAGGCAGCAGATAGTTCATACATGAATCTTATAAATAGTATATCTTTTCACTTTGTTATCATCAAAACTTAAATATAGGGTAGTAGATTCAAACTTTGTTCTAACAGTTTCTGTTTCTTTTTCTGCCTTTTGTTCTTTCGGATTATTCTTTCGATCTCGGGATCAAAGAGAAAATTTTTCCTTCCGGACTTTTTCCTCAGAGCATAAATAGAATTTTAACTTATCTACACACTTGAACAAACAGTTGCGAAAAAACAAATATATACAATATATAACAAATTCATAAAACTTAGAAGTACAGAAACGATTGTGATTGGAGCAACATCAAAACCATTCAATGATTTCTATATTTTTAAGCATAAGTTTCAAGATTTGTTTGGTTTATAGTGACGAAAAGTAAAATGCATAAAATACGAAAGATAAGGTTCAGAGAAATAGACTTGTTTGGAATTGGTTTTCATTCACCGATTCGATATGTAAAACTCAGATCAGTTATACCCAGTCTATGCTTGTTTCATTATCATCACGTATCACATATAAATAAAGCTCATGTCTAAATTTTGATGAGATTTCTACCTTATGGTTTAATCGATGATTTCTCACCCTATTAAACAATATGGTAGCATTATGATTCGATACTTTAGTGAATATTAAATCTAATTATATATCTAGCATTTAGAGTTTAATAGTTGTTATCTTGGATCAAGATTAGAACTGTATTTGTCAATATCAATCTATCCATGAAATAAACGGTAAAACAAAGGTAACAACGATAATGATTCAACCATAAATTGCATATAATGCCATGATCAAAGTAAATACATACTGTTTTGGTGAACTACGACCAATCCCAACAAGAGAGGGATTTAGCTACTCATGGTAGATTGAAGCACAGTTGGAAGAATTAAGTTGAACCAACATCAATGATGATTTCCCAACTCTTGATGCGAATAAAACCCTTCTACCTAAAACCTCCTCTATTCCTACTGCTATTACAATTGTATACTATATTACAAGATAAAAAGTGGAATTTTCTGCTAAACTGAGTTGTTGTCCTTTTTATAGCTGTTCTGGCCGCCTGAGTTTGCTAAGTGAACGGTACTTCTCTAAGCGAAGTACTTGCTTCCGAGCTAAGATTTAAAATCAAATTTCCAACTTGAGACCGCCAAAGTTCGCTAAGCAAAGTTTGGATCGCTTAGCGAAGTTGATTTCTTTGTCCTTAAGATTTTTCAAATATTATCCATAAACCGCCAGAGTTCGCTAATCGAGGTGAGGCTCACTTAAAGAAGTTGCTTTCTTTATCCTGAAGTCTTCAAAATATCTTCCCTTGACCGCCATGTTTCTCTAAGCGAAGTGATACTTGCTTAGCGAAGTTGCTTTCTTCAGCCTGAAGTCTGTTTGACCGCCCTGTTTCGCTAAGCGAAGGCCCAATTTGATAGGAGAACTGCTTTGCTTCTCCTCACTGCTGGAGAAACTTGTTGATTCGATTTTGTATTGTGTTCGCTACGCGAACTATTCCTTGCTAAGAGAATTGGTCTTCTCGCTACAGCCCGCTTAGCAAAGTGTCTAATAGCTGGTTTTTGCTTTAGGGATCAAATCCTGCACAAAACAAATCAAACCAAGTAAAATTTCACAATAACACTTTTATTTAATAATTGAGATTTTTTATGTTATAATCTTGTCAATTAAGTAAGCTAAATGCTATGTGATGATGTGAAAATTTCCATGAATCAAGCATTCATCAGTGAGTTAAGTAAGACTCATGAATTCAGTGCCCACTCATGTATTAGGTGGGAAAAAGGTGTTTAAAGCAGGTTCGAAGTGGCGTTCATCCATAACTGCAGAAGCCGGATATGGCCACGTATTTGGAGAATTTTCGGTTTTTCCCGACATATGAGGTCGAGGAACGCTAATGACAGAGACTCGTACAAACCACCAATGATTAGTTTGCTGAGGAAGACTTTATTTTTCTCGTGAAGGTGAGTAGCCAAACACACAAAGGTTTTGGACACCTGAACTAAGTGAGAATAAAAGAATAAAGAGAGAGCCAGTAAGTTAAAAATGTAGTATGCTCATAATCTTCGTTAGTTTCAGTCGAGCCAGAATGTTCTTCCATAAAGGTATCTTAGGCAGTTTTCTTGAATTTAAAATCAAGCTTGGTCATGTTGATTTTTCTGGGTTTAAAATCCTAGCCAGGTGGTCGAAGACTAGCAATAGCAGCAACATCAAAAAGTGTGGGAGTCGTAATCCCAAAAGAAAGATGGAATGTGTTTGTAATAGCCTTCCTGAAGTCTAGAGCATATAGAATCATAGTGGGATTCTACCTAGGGCACACCTTTGAAAGCTCTATCAGGTCATAAATGCCCTGATCTTTCCACAAGAACTTTTTCTTCTGTTGGACTCTAATCAATCATTCGATGTAGGGTCAATTAGCATCCTCAAGAGGATGCGCGAACCTAAACACCCTATGCTTCAAAGAGCTGAAATCAAAAGCTTGATCATAGAAAACCTATGGTTCCCACTCAGGTAGACTAGGAAATAAGCTTTGCAAAACATTGGATTTTCTAACGTGTTTGGGAAGAGGGCCCGTGAAGGATAAGGTGGTACCTGCAATAGAGTAGGGGATCAACGTATCAAAATACCCAGGATGTCTCCCTTATTCCTCCATGGGAGGTTCAGGAATGTAGGGGGGATTGTTGGTGAGGATATGTTTTTAATGTGAGCAGCGATAGGTGGTGAGTAGAAGCGGCACGTTCAGGTGCCATTGTTGATGTGAAGCTTTTTCTGGAAGAAAATGAAGGGAAGAATGATAGAGGTTGCTGAAATTTGTGAGGGCTTTTTTACTTTATTTTGTAGAAAAGGAAATGTTGAGAAGAAGAATAATAAGAAGAAGAAGAGTTGACGAGAGATATCTAAATAGTCAAAAGAATACAGAGAAAAAGTTTAAGTTTTTCCCTCCAAAACATGGACAAGTGGCATTGTCTGAGTCGACATAAAGCGTTAAGTTACGAGGAATATGATATTTTTAAATAAAAAAGGCATTTCTCTTTTTAATTTCCTTTATGTTAGTGGCTAATTAATCTCGTAAGAAATAGGGGATAATGATGATCATCTATTTGCACATTTTAACGTGAGAGTTTGGTGAAAAGTTAATCATGAAGACTGAAAAACGTCCCACTAGTGACGTTTACATGCTATTAAAATTAGTGTTGAAGTGATTATAAAAATGCCACATTTTCCATCTGACAAATATGATCAAAATTGACATTTTTGGGGACATATGTTAGCATGGAATTTCCAACTAAAAGAGAAGTGAAGGAAGAATATGCCATTGAGAAATGCTAAGTGTTAAAAGCATTTATTAACATGATTTGACATAAACATATTCGTCGACTGAGAAGCTTTGACTAACATGATAGTTATAGTTTGGAAAAGTCACAAGAACAAATCCATAAAATTAACATCACCCTTTCCTCTAAACATGTCCAAAACCTCAAAAAGGACATTCGACAAAAGTTTGTCTCGACAGGGTGGTTGCGTCGACGAGTGATGGGTCCGATAGTTTTGAGAAGTAGTTAGTAGTTCTGAGCAGTTACAAACGTGAGATAATGGGAAATTTTGAATTATGACGAGGTGGAAGCATTTTAAAACGTTAAACTGCACATTTTGATACGTGTCTTCCGTCTGAAAGTATAACTGTCGAAGATGGTTATTTGTAGGATAGTATAAGTTGCAGACTCATACATTATCTCTATAGAACTGAAGTACCTGAGTCAAAGAGTAAAATAGTTTGTGAGAAACATGTTTGTGTCTACGTCCTGTCTTTTTATTGTTCTTTTGGTTTCTTAAATGAAACATTTCTTTTTTATTGTATCACATTTCCACTTTTGTTTAATGTCATTTATTGTATTTTACACACTTGTCATATACCAAAGCTTTTCTTGAATTAAGATTTGCATTTATTTTGTCTTTATGCAAACAGCTGCATTTAATTCATACACATTGTTTTTCACACAAATAATGATAGTCTTTTCTTGACAATTATTGTTGGATAGATTCTCTTGTAGAGAGAATTTATTCAATACAGTATTATCAAATTCTATTTATTTTTAGTTATTCCTCTCCTCTTATAATCCAACAACATAATATTCAAGTGAAAGTGATGTTAATTGGGACAGAAGTAGTGCATCTCAATATTTCCTCATACAAAGATAGATTGAATTTGTGCATCTCAAATATGTTTTTACTTTTTAAACTTAACATCAAATCCAAAAGAACTGTTCTTTTGGAAAAATAACAACATTAACTGTTGTAGTTTTGCTTAAACATCACCCCTTTAATATCAACAGGGTAATGCAAAAATATTAAGAAAGTGCACAAATGAAAAAGAAAACATAAAATTAACAAAACTACACTAAGAACTCCAGATCAGAGTGCAATCACTCAACTCATTCACCCATTGCTCAAAATCATTTTCCAGCGAGGTCTTTTTAATTTTAACCGCCATGGCTTGACTTCTATTCTTGGCTAATTTGTTAAGTAGATCAGCCATACCCCTCCTCCTCTTCGACCCAGGTGACAATGACTCACAACTTCCCTCCGACGAAGACGGTTCGGGTGAGTCCCGTTTCAAAACCACCTCTCTTTTTGCCTCCGATATAGACGCGTCGTTGCCAATGAGGTGGGGAAAATTAACCTTGGCTTTTTGGCCACGCATCTTGAAAGCAGCTTTGTCGTAAGCCACAGCTGCTTCCTCCTCGGTCAAATAAGTTCCTAACCAAACCCTAGCACCGTTCTTTTTTGGATCTCTTATCTCCGCCGCGAACTTCCCCCATGGCCTACGCCTAACGCCCTTGTACCGCTTCCAAGACGGTGGAGGGGCGCTTACCTCACCCGCTCCCGCAGATCTGTGGGAATCACTCTCACTTTTAGGGCTTGAAAAAGGTTGAGAAAATGTTAGAAGGTAGGAATCTTCACAAAGAAGGTATTGCTGAACGTGTTCCAAATATGCAAAATCTGTATTGGTGGTAGAAGCCATGTTATGGATGAGAGTAGTGAAGTTTTGGATCTAAATAAAGTTTACCGTTTTAGAGAGTAACTGAGACTTAGGAAACTTCAGAATATAGTCTTATATATACAACAAATTTTATTTATATATAACAACAACTCTTGTTGATTGAATTGTTTATTCAAAAACTGACAATTTAAACCGCGTAGTGTTATTCATTTTTTAAATACACATACCTTTCAAACTCACTTCGGTGAAACTTCATCATGAGATCGGGTTTTGAGTTGTGCAAATGGTCATCGCTTTTAGTTATATATATTAATTTGTTTTATCTGTTAAATATTTAAGGAAAACTAACGGATAATATTCTTTTGTTGGTAATGAAAAATAATACAGTATTAGTATTTTTTTAAAGGCAAAGTAAATATATTATATAAAAAAGAAAAGAGAAGGCAAGAGCACTACGGACCAAAGTACACAGATAAAAGAAGACAAGGGCACTATAAAAAAAAGAAGGCAATGATATATATTATTTTATTCTTATATCATTGAAAATTATAAAATGTACATTTATATAAAGTGAAATTAATTTCAAAATTATATAAAATTAAAATTCTCTATTTATTGTCATAAATTCATTTCTTGTTATATAATAAACTAAAAAAAATTCTAATTTTAAGAGAATATTTAAAATTTTATTATTTTAAAATTTGTATACTAAATAATTAAGTAGACATATTTAATTATTACGATTGTAATCTCACTTTGCTCGAGTAGAATCGCATAAATGTAATAATAATCATACTTTAACTATGTGTTATTATTTATATAATTTATTTTGTTCAATAAACATATGGAATGAGGGATCTAAATCCTCGTTCTCTTGTCAAAAGAAACTCCTTATTCTAAATAGTTATGTCTAGATCCCAATAATAAAATTAAAACAGAGAAATAAATCTAGGATTGACTATATCACCATGAAATTCTAACACTTTAAAAATATATGTAAAAACTAATGTCTTAACACTAAACACAATGTTAAAGCAGATGTTAAGACACCATATTTTTTATATAACTTTTGCGGCAGGAAAAAATTCGAGAATAAGCTATTGATTAACTCATTTCCACAAAATAAGCAAGAGTCGCCACAAAACTTTATTGTTTCCAAAAGAAATGGGAAAAGATTGAACAAAATCCAAAATAAAAGAAAGATCAAGGTACGAGGGTTGATTATGCAAAGAGAAGGTTTAACACTCAAAATATCTACGGTACTCCGCAGGAACCTCTTGAAAATCTGTGTATTTGGCTAAAAATGGTTGTTTCTAAAAATGATTGAAGAGATTAGAAAAGAAGTTGTTTTTATTATTTTGATTTGGCAAGACTTCGAGAGTCCTATTCCTATGTACCACCAATGTGCAGTGATGAAATCAGAACCACATAGTTCTTCTAAAAAAGAACAAAACTTTGTGTGTTGGTTGATTTTAAATGAAGAGACAAATTGTTATTTTAGGAGAAGACTCGAATAATCACTCACAATGTATGAGAAAAATGGATAATACATCACATGAGAGAGGTCTTACACTTGGGTAAGATCGACAAGTTCCTCAAGCGCTCAAGTGAAAAAATTGACAATTTTTGATCATAACTATGAGGATAGAAGAATCACATCTCATCTATAAATGACTCATATCTAATCATGAAAAAGGTTTTAAAGAGAAAAGATACACGAGGGCACAAAAAGGATTGAATGAGGTTGAGTGTTTTTTAGTCTTTTTAAAAAGGTTAGAATATGATTAGATGGATTGACATTCGATTAAAGAAAAAGAAGTTTAGAAAAATTCATTTGACAATGTCAAGGTTTATTATGAAAGTGGTTAAAGTTTGGAAAAAGAATTCTTTGAAAAAGAGAGAAGGTTTTTAAAATTGAAGAATGGGAGGAGATGCAGAAACTATCCTAAAGCATAAAGTAAAAGTTAAGGTAAGGAAGATCTGATCAAATAAGATGAATCATATTGACAGAAAACAAATAATGTGTCCTATTCCTTTGGATTAAAGTCACATGCAAAAAATAAACCAAGAGTATATCAAGCATCAGGTGAAAATAAATCACAAGAAGAAAAAGCATCGGATAAGCTCAAGGTATCAGATAAGAACTCCCGCATCAGATGAAAAGCGACACAGTCAGACAAATCCAAGATAACAGAGAAATAACCCAAAGGTCTCATGAAATAAAAACTCAGGTCCCACTGGTCAATGTCATACATCAAAGCTAAATGAACAAATGAAATATGAAATAAATATTTAATTAATTAATTAAAGATTGATTAAACTTAATTAATTAGAATAAGAAAAATTAATTAGAAAAATTAATTAATTTTTAAATAACAAAATCAACTAATTAAATCAATGTTTAATTAATTAACTAAAAACAATAAAGTATGCAAAGATGGAATCAAATAATCGAAAAAGAAAAACTAAACAATTAAATAATCACACAAAAATTAATTAAGTTACTTGAAATTATTTAATAAAACTAACCGATCAACATGAGCTTTATTTAAATAAAATTAACTAACAAAAATAATTAACAATAGCAATTAATAACATAAAACAATTAAAAGCAATTATAAGGAAAATGGCTGAAAGTTAGCAAAACAGAGGGTAAAGTAGCATTAATTTCGCTAATGGGATCAAGAAATATTGAAAAGATAGAAGCATACCCAAGTTAATAATAAAATAGATAGCTAAAAACACATAAAAGAAACCATACAGCTGAGGGGGGTTGTAGAAATTTGGAATGGGCTATTTCAGCTTAGGCCCAATCAGTATTATTTAATCAACAGTAAAAAAAGAAAAGTGAGGGGTGCAGACTAAGCAACCCACTGGGCTGCATTAAAAGGGAACCAGACTGGGCTATATGTAAGGCCCAAAATTAAATTCAACAATTAAAACTCTAGAAGGCTAAATGAGTGGCTGCTGCACCCCCTCTTCCGTATTCACGCTACTATTTCTCTGTTTTTTTACACTCTCAAACTTATTCCTCTACTTATCTTCATTAGTAAACTTCCTCTGTTACTTTTCTCTCAGTTCTAAACTTCACATCAAAAACTAACAACAACAACTAATCCAGCTCTTGTTCTGATTCTCTCTCACTTAATTTTTACTCTGCTTCAGAACAACAACAACAAACTTTATTTCTTAACATCTTTCACGGTTAAAACATCAACAACAACTTTTTCAGTCTGTTATACCCTAATTTTTGCCCCTAAGATCCTTTATCATTTCATATCATCACAATACACCAAGATCACACACTTGGGTTGGTCAACTCTTCTACTCTCTCCTATTTTTAAGTTTGCCCTTGAGGGATCACCAAGAAACTTGATTTGTGTATTGTGTATTGTATATGTGTATTTTATATTTACTAACCCTTAACCAAAATCCAAAAATATGCATGCATTTCCTTTTATGCTATGTAGGTATAGAGCCAAGTGCATCTCCCCCACCTCCTAAGCTAGGATTATTAAGATTGGTCCTCAGTCAATTGGCTATTCATTGGAATTTAAAAGCTTTAACTTCAAGGCTATGTTTATGGTATCAAAGTGATATGGTTTAAGAACTCTCTCAACTTCATTTGGTCGAGTTTTTCTCTAAGTTAGTGGTTAAATTCATCAAGAAACTTCACAAATTTATGTGTTTATTTACATGCCTTCTTGAGCAAGTTTCATCAAGAAATAAGTCCTCTCATCAAGTGTGCTTCAAGATAACATCATTTCAGGTTCTAGTGTGATTCATCAAGCCTTAATTTTCAAGAAAGGTTCAAAAGATTCAAAGTTGATTCAAGATTGTTGACCTAATTTGGGAAAGTCCTTGATTCTATGGTCACAAGTGCATAAATCTCTCAATTTTAAATATTTTTAAGTGGTTCTTTTTGCTATGGACTCTTCTCTTTATTTAAAATAACTTCTCTTCAGATGACAATATCCAATTGTGAAAGGAGTATTATCAAAAGTTTAGAAAGATTACAAGTCCTTTGAGAAAACCATTTGAATCTTTGACTTGACTTCAAAAGACCATAAATTGGTCAATTTAAATCTCCTTGAGCTTATTTTTTTTCACAACAATCTTGAAGATGTATACTACAACTTTGATTCAAAATGCAATATCTAAAAATGTTAGAAAGTTATAGAATTAATGAAAACATTTTAGGTCGTCTATGGATTTCTCAAGAAATTTTCATCAACTTCCAAGACCCATAACTCTGTCATTTTTTATGATTTTGAGTGATCTCAATTCCATAATTCTATTTGAAGAGTATACTTCATTTCATCTTCAATGATCAAGAACTAATTTTTAGTGGAAGGCCATGTAAGTTTGAGAAACATTATAGGTCACTATGAACCTCCATACTTAGATATTTTTCTAAGTGTCAAAATCAGTTGGTTTTTCCTGATTTCAAAATGGCACAACTTTCAACTTAAATGTCCAAATGAAGTCTTTCTAGGCACATTGTAAACTTTGTGATGATGTCTTCCAAATGTGACAAGAATGAGACCATAAAGCCTCTTGTGCGAGTTTCCTCAAGGATTTAAAGTGAGCACCTTAAAATTGGATTTTCCACTTGCAGTCAGATTCGAATTTGATAAATGTGGCTTCTAATGACCAAATTGATATATGATTTCAACTTAAACATGACTAATAAACTTTCCTAGATCGGTTTAAGCATTGAAACACATTATTAGAGTAAGTTTTGATGCACATGGAGTTACACTTTTTACAATCATCGATTTGGCTTGGTTTGCACGATTTTCTCACAAATTCTTCCAACTCGCATCACCATTCACTCTCCTATAAATATAGAAACATATTCCATTCATTTCTTCAAGCTTGGATAGCCAGAATCACCCTGCCAAAGTCACACTCGAATTTTGAAATTTGAAAATCAATTTAATTATTTCAAGTCTTCTTTCTCAAAACTCTTTATTGATTCTTCATCATTGATCATCATACAAACTTTTCACAACAAAATC